TTTCAGTGTAACTCTGATTGAAAACATGCATTCTCTGTGTAAACATCATCACGGGAGTCCTTGTAAAAAGAATATAGTTCCCAAATTCTGAGCTTACTTAAGAAACTTACGAAAAATCCCAATATAACCAAGAGACTCAAAGCACAACATTTAGCCAGCCAAGTGTTTCAGAGAGAAGCCACTCATCTTGAGGGAAATGACTGAACACATGTAACAATTAAAAGATACAAACGCTGCTAGGACATAACTGTGAGAAGCAAAGCTAAACATAATGCAATTGAGAATTATTATGACAATCACACAACCACTCCACAATTCTTACTCTGACATATCTTTTGCTATGTGCATTTAGTTTGCAAGGAAACCAAGACACTTAAGTATTTACACTCTAACTGCATCACTGACTTCTGGTTTGTATAGTAAATACTCTACTTGGTTTAGGATATTTTTCTTCTTCCCCCCCGACATCCAATAAAGCATACTAAAGTCCTTATTTTTGTGTTTATTCTAGATGTAAGAATTTGACTGCACCTGTTAGAAGGAATAACAGCATATCACAGCCATGTCAAGAGGCTGCGGAAAGCTTTTCTTTCATTTGCATCAACTAGGTCAAACCAGGGCAGTCAGTGGACCCACCCTGTTTTAACAGTATCCCAGCATATTAAGCAAGCACATAGTCAATCTCTAAATAGATGTCAAGGAAAGTATAGCTTAATTCTTCATCTCTCTACTCCTATATGCTTAGTTGTTACAAACTTAATGACTCAAGCTCTCCTATGGTCTTACAGATTAGCTCCACCACCGTGGATTTAACCATGGTTGGTGGCAGACTATACCTGTAAATACAATGCAAGTATTTCAGAGTTTGTGCAGCAGTTTAAAAGTTTGGTACTATATATAAAGTACTCCTGAGTTTAAGAACTGAACAGGCATAATCTGAGTTTTTGGATTGTCCTGGTTTGGGTTAGAACAGAGCTGGTTCTGTTCAATAATTTAACTTTTCAGCTAAAGGTCTTCTAATTAACTGCCTTGTCTGAAGTTAGCAGAGTGTTTTCGCAGACTGCCTGCTTTTAGCAGTGATAACATTTCATGTTTAGAGTTACTGCCAGGGGTTGGTGTGCAGACCAAGGCCACTTGTGCCTTGTGTATCACTCTGCACAGCTTGTGTATCACACAGAGGGGAGCAGAAAGTAAAGCTGTACCTGCAGGGAGGAGCAGGCAAGATAAGTGACCCTAAATTGACCAATGGTGTATCCCACCCCATATCCATCTTACATATTCAGTAAGAGCTGAAGGATCAGGAGGGGAAACCCCTTCAGTTGCCCCTTCCATCTCTCTCCCGCCTGCTTGCTCAATTTTGCAATGGCCAGCATCTGAGGAGGACTTCAACCGTTCTGCCTTTGATCCCGAGCCATGTGCCCCTGAACTGAGTTCCAGAATCCAGCTCCTGTGGCTGAGTCCAGTGGTTGAGCCCAGCCTGGGACTTTTCCGCGGGGGCTGCTCCCCAGCCAGGGGTGATGCTGACGTATTGCCATCGGGAGGAGGATACTGATTTTGTATGTATTTTTCTATATAGGTGTATATATTTGTACATATTCTATTTTATTATCATAAATACTATTATTATTATTGGCAATATTAAAGCTGTTTTCCATTTCTAATCAAT